TATCATATATACATACATCAACAAAAACATGTCTTCCATTTAGTATAAAGAATTACATGAGGGCTGGAGATTTAGCTCAGTGTTGCTGCCACCTGCCTTGCAAGCACATGGCTCCGAGTTCAATCCCTGCTACAAAAAAAAAAAATCAAAGAATTACATGAATGGGTCAAGACACTCCTGTGAGGACTATAACAGGCATTTTCCTCTTTGTAAATATTGACAATCTTTGCTTATCTCCTGATCTTCAAAGTTTTCTTAACAGCATTCTAATCCTTCATAATTTAGATATTTTAACCAGGTTTTACAAACCGTACAGCCCTTCTGGCCTACTTTCAGTAACAGAGCAATATAAAACAGGATTAGGCAAGCATAACTGAGACTCTAGCAAAAGAATGTAGTTTCTATAAACACTTACTGTTCTTGTATTTGTGGAGTTGGTAATTTGTCTCTCTGTCTTGCTATTTCTCTCTTATTTTTCAGTCCTTACAGTAACTAACATTTCTTCTAGGAAGCCATTCTGAACACTTCCTACTCTCCCTCTGCTCAACAAGCCACCTCTTCAAATGAGACCAGGCCCTCTTATTGTACTCACTCACAGCACACCAGAATTAATTTGCTTCTACCTCAATAACAGCCATAATAAAATTATTACTAATACAATCCTCTGCTTAATGTTTATCTCCAGACAAAGATATACTGTATTGTTTCAACTTTGTCCCTCAGTACCTTCCAGAGTATCTGATGTAAGAAAGATGTTTGATAATAATTGTTGGATAAATTAATGGACAAAGCCTTCCATTGCTGCCACTCAAAACCCTGGGGTTTACACTTTCAGCTCTGGGTAAATACGTCAGGAATATGTTTTCAGCTCTGAATCTCAATGGCCCAGTTAGGCCCAAACTGTATTCATCATATACATCAGTAAACATGAAATACTGTCAAAGAATCATTTTTCCACTACCAGTAAACATCCACAGCAAAGTAAGAAAAGCCTGGCTGTCATTCACACAAGCTGCACGTGTTACCAAAGAATGCTGGAGAGTTGACATCAGAAAGATGCTTTCTATTTTAGTATATGTGCTGCTGAAGTAAGCGTAGAAAGATGCTTTCTAAATCCAGTTATGTATAGGCTACCAACTTCCAAGTATTTTTCCCCTATACAATTTACCATAAGAATTGATGAATGTCTATTTGAACTATGATAGAGGCTATTTCTGAATTATCAGATAGATGACAGTCAATAGAGTACATTATAAGTCATGAGCTACATTAAAATCCGAGGAATTTAAATTAGTGTGCTTGGAAAAAATATAGAACAGCAATTTCTAAAGTGAATCAGGGTCATATCCTCAAAGTAGCCCTAAATCTCCTAACAGTAAACAGGCCCAGAGAGCTTGCAAGATCAGCTTAATGGAATGCACTGAGTTCAGCGTGGAGTGGTCTCTAGGTTTACACATTATTTTAAAAACAGGGCATTCAAGTCCTTCTGAATGAAAGAAAAACAGTTTCATTCTGGGTCAGGAACAAGGAATGGAGCCAAGTGGACAGATTAAAATCCCACCACATGATAAAAAGGCAATAATGAGAACATGGAGCAAAGGAGAAATGTTGAAAATTTATTATAGCAGGCATCAAATAATTAACAAAAGTAACACCAAAGGTTTTGAGATGATTATACAGTACAGGCTTTTTTCCAACTGTGTTCAACAAACAACTACAGACATTGTGTCCAGACACTGAGCACGGCTCTAGTGAATATATGGTGTATGTCTTCAAGAAATTCACTAGGTGATTCTGAAATACAAAATAGTAGCACTAATTTCTAAAGAGTAAAAGTTCTTTACTCATTTACCATTAGTGAAACACTACAAAGGATATGTCCTTTGTACTACTCACTTGAAAGTCTTCCCAAGAGTTGAACTAGACCTGTGGTCACAAATTACTATGATCCAAGTGACAAGTTAGCAACCTAGCAACCAAATAACAAAGGCTAGAGGAGTCCAAAAAAAAAAACAAAAACAAAACAAAACAGATATTCATGGTGGCAGGGAGGTGAGGTTCTCCTGTCACAGGCTCAATTTAAGCAAGCCTTAAAATAATGCAGAGAAAGAAGAAAGAGAACTGACCCCGAAGATATAAGGAAAGTCAGAAAGAAAATGAGGAGGCAGGAAGAAAATAGGGATGCGGGAATGGAGAAGGCAACTGGGTTTGACTGAAGCAATGGTACCAGTAATAAAGCAATAAAAAGAGGAACAACTCCTCTAATAAGTTTTATCTTGTCCTGAGCACTCAGAGTAAAAGTCTGAAGAAATGTTTGCATTAAAATTAATATTCTGGTAATGAATGACTCCTAAAATCTGCTTTGTAAAATGAAGCCAGCTGGCTTAATCAAAATCATCTGCAACACTGTGGCTAGCATCCACTGCAGGTCTTTTGTTCCTAGAAATTTTACTTCAGTATGTCGTGCACGTGTGTGTGTGTGTGTGTGTGTGTGTGTGTGTGTGTGTAAAATATATTTAACTGGTACCTTCAGTAACTTCCTACGTGAAACATTTTACATGACTTCCTCTACGATTCAAGGCATAGCCAGGTTTGGGAAGCATTGGTACAGACGAAAAAAGTCTCTGATGACGTTGGTTTAGAGAAAGTGAGAAGGGCCAGGCCAAGGGAGTTGGAACTGACTTGACCCAAAAGGCAGACAGGCTGCTCAGCTAAGTCAAAATTTCAGGTCTAACTGATATCTGGAAATGTTTATAGGAACTTTTGACCCCTAAAAGTATATTGCTCTTATGCTGTATGAACTTGTTGACCCCTAAAAGTACATTACTCTTACATTGCCATGCTCAGTGTTTAGAATAAAAAGTGCTTTATGCCAAAACTCTGAATGAGTCTCAAAACTACATCTGCACCACTTGGCTCCATCTGTTTTCTGCTATACCCATAAGGAGAAGGCAAGTTCTTCAAAGGGTAAAAATGACACTAGAGACACACAGAAAAATGTTAAAGATCTTAGCTAGGTGTACAAACATGAGAAGCAATAAACTAAAAGAAATTCAAAATATATCTAGATGATATATATGAGGGAGCCCTAAATTTATGGCAAATGAAAATCTCACTGAATGAAAGAACATTCTGGAAGCAACACCTCAACCTCTTTCATACCAAACTGTGCTCCAGTTTCTCTATGAGGATCAGACCCTGGTTTGCCCTCACCATTCTTTAACTAATGAATTAATCATTAACCAATAGATTAACCTAATCATTACATGATGGATGTAAATATTACAAAATAATCCATGAAGCTGAAAGAACAATTCAAAACGTAACAGAAAGGAAGGGGTCCATGTGCCTCACTCGGCTTCTTCCCCAACTTAGTGCTGTTTAGAATGCCAGTCTGTCTCACCCATTCCTTCCAAAGCCCCTCCTATGTGCAGGACTCTGGAGCAGGGGTTTTCTGACCTGGTTAGTAGGCAGGGTCCCCGTTTTCACTCCCAGCTCAGGTTCTAACGCTCATCTGAGGGAAAAATACATGACCTTCTCGAGTAGGATGGAAATTGATTTTGGGCAGTTCATTCCTCCCTGCGGTCAAGGATTATACTGTGCAGGTTTCCATGTTCCAAACAGTTAGGGCAAATGTCAAGTCCCCTCTCAGAGAATAACAATGGACTTTAATCGTTTCATAAGTTTTAAAAAGCACTTTACTTTGGTTTTACCAAGGGTTTTGTAAACTGGATAGCACAGATGTGCTCGCTTCGGCAGCACCTATACTAAAACTGGAGAGCACGGGGCTCTTTTGCCTATTAGTGTCAATATTCCTGAAAACAAGCATTCTATATATTCAGAAGCAAGTCAAATTAGGAAACTCACTTTCCTCTTGAATGTATTTGCTGACATACTAACAGCAATACTTACATCTGATTGTATGAATAAAGGAAGTACTCGAATTACAGAATTCCAAAGCGTAAGACCAGGGTAAATTCTGGCCAGACTTGAAAGTAGCAACCCTTTATTGCATTACTAGTGTTTATGTACATGCTAAAATTTAATAGTAGGACAACATTGTAATATTTACTTGATCATATGTATTCCACATGTACATGGATACAAAAAGCCTTCTAGCATTCAATTGACCACCTCAACATTTTTACCCTAAGCATTCTTCCTTTTTCTGGTCACAAAGCATCAAAAGGTAAAAAGTTAGTTTTGTTTTCAAAATTTAAGTCAATGAGAATTTTCCATT